ACCCTCTCACTTGAACTCTCGCTCTCCCCCCCTCCCCTCTTTCCCCATTTCGCACTGCTCACACTTTCTCTCTTCCCCTCCCCATTTCCTCTCCCCTGCGAGACGGGCCGGATCAGCCGCCCTGCAATGCGATGCTGCGCAACTTTTGCGGCCGCTTTGTTTACACGATATTACCACTTACGTAGTTTGGCGGCCCAGGGCGTTTAATTTAGAGAGCGGCCCTCTGGGTTAACCAGACCCGGTCGGGACCGCCAAGGATTTGAGGCAGTTGGGTGAGGGAGGGGAAGGGACGCGGTAAGGGTGCTTGTCGTGGTCTTGATGGCGTGGATGGGGAGGGGGTAGGGTGGGGTGGATTCTCGCCGTAAGGTGGCTTGGAGTGTAGGGCTGTGAAATGACCCCAACCCAGCCCTCAGAGAGCGCGCGGGCTTATTGACATCTTTTTCTGTGAATAAAAACAATATTCCCTCTCATTCGAAAATAGTAATAAAAATTAATCGTTCTTGTTTTGTGTGCGATGGATTCTCGAGAAGTGGAGCTGCTCGGTCGTTATATCAGGCCGGCCTTTGGCTCGCTGTGGTTAGTGCCGGCCGCATAGATAAGCCTCGTTTCGACTGCTGACGGCGGCCGAAGGCGGCCGAAGCCAGGGATTGAGACCGTCATTACTGTTTGGCCGGTTTTGAAACAATACGACTCGGGCGGAGATCGTGCAGGTTGGATTTGCATGGCAGGTGAATGCTCGTGTTGTATAATGTGCCGTTACGCTCTTATCTGCGGCCGGACTTGGGCGGGACATGGTAACGTTCACAGCTCTATTTGCGGAGGGACTTGGGCGGTCGAGCGGGGCGGGGCGGCGTAGGGCTCCTCGGCCGAGCTGGCTAGGGGCGGTGGCGGGCCCCAACCCGCTCCGCCCCGCCACGCCCCGCCACGGCGTGGACCATAGGGCCTGGGGGACTCTCGATTACTGTAATAGCATGGAAATGAGCAGTCAGGGCTTAAGCAGCAGGGCTCCGGCAGTGCCCCGGGGGAGGGGGCAAGAGGGCGAGGACGACGTCGAGGAACGGGGCGAGGGGGCGAAGGAAGCGGAGGGTAGTAGGAGGGGAAGGGCCGCACGCGCCAAACGAAAGGGTTTGGATATTGTTTGAGACGGAGGAGGAACCGATCATCGCAGAATCCCGTTGCTTCGGGTGGGGGCGTGGGTGGGGTGGGGAGGGCTAAGGTAACGAGGCCGTGGAGGAAGTGGTGCATGCGGAGGGCGCGTGGCGCGGCGGGGCGCGGCCCGCCCCGAGTTGAGGGGATAGATTTCGGCTTCCGTTTGCTTAAGCCCGCGGCTCTTCCTCCCCTATGCGACACCTTCCAGCAGCAGCAGCACCTCCCCGCCCATGCGGTATATCTCATTTTCCCAACAGGGGGGAGAGTCAGTCGGGGGGTGAAAGTCAACTCGGCTCCATGTATCATTGCGATGAGCGTTTATTAGCCCTGCGGCATATGGCTCTATGACGCTGAAGAAGATATAAAGGCTTTTCCAAATTAATTTTGAAGTGGTTTTCAAAAAAAGGACATAATTCACCTTTAACTACCAAACTACCTCTAAAACACCTTTATTAAAATTGATCAGAGATTGCAACAGAAAAAAAAGATATTGTTTCGTTTAACTTGTCATTTGTTTTCCAGTGCCGCCGGACATCCTGGACTACCCTACGAGCACGGACATGGTGGTGCGCGAGTTCAGCAACGTGACGCTTCGCTGCGCGGCGAACGGCTCGCCCCGGCCCAACATCACCTGGCGGAGAGAGTACGGCTCGCTGCTGCAGCTGCCTGACGGCCGAGAGGGTGAGTGTATATGTGTGTGTGGGGGGGGGGGGGGGGGGGGCGCCGGGGGGGGGGGGGGGGTTTTTGTGGGGGGGGGGGGGGGGGGGCAGGGCACTCACGGCAGGTCAGCGTGACTGACGCGGCGTGACTGACGGCGACGCGTCAGGCGACAGCGAGGAACATCGACACTGACACAGCTAGTACTAGTGCAATCGAGGCCTACGCACACCAATGCAAGACTCATCACTAAATCACGAGGGGTTGATCAGGTTTGGTGTACATGGAATATCTGCAGTATATATGGAATATCTAGAACATTTTGGGAATATCTGGAATACATTTGGAATGCCTGGAATCTTTTCGGAATCTGAAAATTTTTAATGGAATATCTAGATTTTTTTTTTTTAATATTTTCCAGTGTTTATATCCAAGTGGTTCACTTAAATAAGTTCCAGTTAGTGGTAGTCTGATTATAGGTGACCTACCCAATGGGGAGAAGAGCCAGTATACGTGATTTTAGAAGCGCGAGAAAGAGAAGGGGAGCCACTTACTCTCTCTCTCCGTGGTTGCGCCACCGTTGGGGCCAAAGTCTCTTTCCGTGACGGACTGCAATGAGGGTGGCGTGGTGGTGGGCGGCTCGTCCTTGCGCGCGCGATCGGGTGCCGCCGAGTTGTTGCTACAACTTGTTACAACACGGTGCGGGGGAGAGGAGTGGGCGGCGGGGTGTTGAGTAGGTATGTTGGAGCGGTAGTTATCTGCCACAATCGTGGCTCTTTGGTAATGACTGTTAGCCGTCGCAATACAGTTTGTAGAGTCGTGGAAACTCTCCATAATCTGTGGTTAAGATCTCATCCCCTGAGTTGGTTCAGAGCGTTGTAGGTCGTAAGAGCAGACACAATATTTTTGACTTAAATTTTTGTGCTTATTTATTCTAAAATACGAATATAAAAGATGTAATGTTTACGCTTGAGCGCACTATCTAAATTTACTTAGTGTTTAAAATTTTAAAAAACTCGTTAATTACATTGAAAAGAGTTAGTTACCGACTACGGGCGTGCCGTTGCACTGCGGTGACGGACCGCCTCGCCGTGCGACCTTGTTTTCGGGCTTGACGGTTCGTTTTGGGCTGCGCCGCGGGCTGCGCCGGGCTGTCGTCTGCTCGTCAGCGCCGCGTGTCGTGGTGCACTGCGGAGGCGCTGGGCGTCGCGTGAGGCGCTAATGGATTGTTATCCTCGGTGTGCAGAACACTCGGCACCTCATCGCCGCTGCCGCCTCCGTACCGCGGCCAATCAATAAAGCACGGCTAGCCACCGCTCCTCCTCCTCCTCCTCCTCCTCCTCACCTCACCTCCAACACCTTCTCCACTTCTTCCTCCACCTCCACCACCTTCTCCACTTCTTCCTCCACCTCTTCCATCACCTCTTCCTTCACCTCTTCCTTCACCTCTTCCTTCACCTCTTCCTCCATCCCTTCCTCCACCCCTCCCTCCACCTCTTCCTCCTCCTCTCGACAGGCTCTGTGTCCTCTCTGTGTACGGGATTTCTCGATTT